ATAGCACATTTACACACACGCGCAGACTGAAACCTGAGCCACAGGAAGTGGTCCTGTGCAGCATCATGTCAGGGCAGACAAATTATTCACCATTTGAAAAATGCACCTTTTTCTCCGCTCTCTTCCTCATATATCCGAGACTCCCTCCCTGTCTTCTTGTCTCCATTTATTGTTTTCAGTTTAGGCTCTCCAAAGAGGAACAGTGGAGGAGACAAAAAGCTCTGCTACCTGCGTTATCTCAAAATGAGCTGTGTTCAGACGAAGAGCGAGCTGCTGCTGTAGGCTGCACATACAGGCCCCAAAAATTCTGGGAAATATTCTCCTCCTGTGGCGTTCCCTGAAGATTTGTGGTATTCCTGCCCACAATATCCCCAAACCGCTTTTGTGGAATTTCCTAAATGGATGAAAAGCAGGTTTATTTAAATTCTTTAGAAAAATGAAATGCAGATTGGCCTTATCTCTGCATGGCTGTATTATTTTACTGAATTTACCAGACTATGAGAGAGAGAGAGGATAAAAATAGTAATTTTGTGCTGCATGGTTTTATGAGAAGAAGATTGAGCAAAGAATAAAAACTGCCCAGTGTAACACATAATGTGGGCGATTAACTCAGTACAACATCCTCCAATCCACAAGGCAGGATCATCCTTGTATTATGTACATATATCACATATATATATATATATATATATATATATGTTTAAAACAATGAACTGGGGTTGAAGTCTACACAATTGTGTTCGATTTTTCTTGGCCTACGCTGAAAAGGAACTAATTTCACAAAAAGACCCCATTATATTAATCACATTGTCAGCAAACTCCAACTGTCTTACTGTAAGAGACTCATAGGATATATACTCTAATTAATCTGCCCCTTCTAATGTTGTGGTGCAGATTATTTAATGGTATAAATAAAATATATTTACAAGCCCATGAAAAGATGTGGACATTGGAATCACTGCACAAAGCTGGGTCATATTTGGGACAATGCACCCCAGCAGTAGTTTTAAATCCTCTGCAGATCTTTCCCTGTTTGTTTCAGCATCTGACTGCTGTTCCTCCTGCATAGTCAATACAGCACAGTTAAAAACCACTATATAAATACAGTTAAGTTATCATATGTTGCTTGAAACTTCCCATATCAGAGTGATGATAGCCAGACCTCTTTTATCACAGACGAGTTGTCATTCAGCCTAAAATAACACATAGTAGTAGAAGTATTTGCACTTTTGACTTCAGTTATTTTAAGTCCTTTTCTTTGCCTACAGGATACAGCTTTGCTTTGTTATTATTTCGTTTCCTCACTTTTAATAATCCTGTGGCCAATTTGCAGAGCTGTGTTGTAGTATCAAAGTCTCCTATCATCATCATGTGGCTTGTCATTGTGTCTTTTTTACATTTTCATACAAAATATCATTGTGAGGGCAGCAAACTATCCAAATTATGTCGTGTGACTAATGTTCTGTGACAGCAGTTACTGGTAGCCCACAGGAATGCGCACGCAGCACTAGAATGACAGTGTTGTGCACCAGGAAGTGTCCACTCTCTTCCTCCTCCTGCCACGACTGTGACTGTGCGGCGGAGGCTGAGGTCATGGGGGACAGGGTTGTGTTAAGTGGAGTTTGCAATAGCGGCAGCCAAACACACTTTTCCCTCAGGCGAGTGGTCAAGGCACAAGTGGTGGCACACACACACACACACACACAAACACATGCAGACACATGCATGCACGCACACACAGAACCTCGACCTATGCATGGACTCACACATCCAAAAAAACGGTTGATTCTGAAGTAAACATCTTGCCCCATCGATACACACAATGCCTTGGGCTACTTGGCCCACTGGCCCACACTGGTGACCCTTGTTACTGTGGTGATTAGATATTGGGAGGCCTCATCTGCAAACATTTAGCCAGTGTCACCCCTAATCTACCCTGTGTCACGCTGCCACTACCGGCTCAGCAGCAAAACACACAGAAACATGCAAACACACACAATGTGGCACATAATTAACAGAACTGATAAATTGTCCCTGTGCCACCACTGCAGAGAATGAGATGACTTGCTACTTGGTCTGATATATTTTTGCTTTTATGAGACAAATTGACACTTTGACTCAATTATATCTTTAAAATAATAAACAGTCACCCATGCTTAACAAGTCCAGCTTGAACCCAAAACTACTCCAGGTTATTTTATTTGTTGGAATTGAGTTAAACATTGCTGCAACATGAAAGCAGTGAATTAAACCCCCTTTTGTGTTGCTTATCTGTACTTTATGCTGCTTTATATCTAAACATCCATCTAAATTTAAAAAGATGCATTTTAATTATAACTTTAGCTTCCGCTGAGCAATTTCATGCTCTCAAGTTTCACTATATCTTTACAAAACCCATCAGGCAGAAGGTACTGAGGTGTTTTTCTTTCAACATTTTCAAAAATGTGAGGTTCCCAGGCAGCAACAAAAGTAAAAAACCTATAACGTGCATTTCCTTCGTCATTAAATTACCAGTTGCTGTCACATTCCACTTCCTGACCTCTGAACTATGACACACCGGTCGTCGTCCTCCTCCTCCTCCAGAGCCCGACCATCACGGACGCCATGCCTCAGGTCAGTCATTGGCTTCCTAAACAGACAAAGTGAGTGTTTTACCTCTGGACATAAGTCAATGACTCCTTTAAGTGACGGATGAATTTTGAGTTGTTAAGCACCTTGCTCAACATATTTTTTTCTAATGAATGTATGCACTGTAATATTGTGTCTTTATGTCTATTGTGTCCATCAAACAAATCATATGAATCCATTCTTATCATGCTTGTGTTTAACTTTTACTTATTATTAACCTCAACGAAGTTTCAAAATCGATCACTGTGTCTGCTCACACTCATAAGAACAACACAGCCTCAAAAGGCAGTGGGCTTGAATTCACTCTATTACAATGGCTTGCAATGGTACATTTTTAGTTTTTAGGGTAGAAAGAATGTTGAAAATGCCCATCAAAACTCTGCTGCAGCCTCTTCCAGTCGATATATTTGAAGATCGGAGAACACTGCTTCCAATGGTTAGATGGTGACAAAGAAACAGTTTGTGATAACAATCTTATTACTTTAATCCTATAAGTGATTTCTGCACATTTAATCCAACATATTTCCTTGCTGTGCTTTTGTACACAGGAGTGGGGGTGCATGAAACTAGTGGCAATGCACAAATTGATTTATTTGAGACATTCCTCTAATAGTTCTCCTCAGACCAGCCACTCTCCAAAACAACTATTCAAGATGGATCAGCAGGGACCTCTAGTGTCTCAGATCAAGCACTGCGGGTTGGAGGCCCAATAGCTGGGCCTTCTATGAAAACTCACACTTTGCTTTGGAAAAAGAACCAAATGGTGCCAAGATGAGCACACATGCACAACTGTTTGATCAGAAGTCGCTAGTATATGAAAAAAATCACTAAGACTTATTAAGACTAATCGTTATAAATACTTCTATATAAATATTTTTTTTTTTGTACGTGTATTGCTCATGACAGGCTCTGAGGCAGTACAGTAACTAAGTGTGGGTGTAAATTCCACTGTCATAATTTGCCTGTGTGTTTCAGTTGGGTGTGTGACAGCAACAGACTGACAGAGAAAGTTGTAGAAAGACAGAGGGAGGGAGAAAGAGAAACAAGAAACATGAGAAGCCTTTTTCGTGAGCACCTCTGGGTGACCTGTGTGCTCACCTGGATGTGGAGAAGCAACAGAGAGAGAGAGAGTGATCTCTTGCAGCTAACAATCTTTTACCATCTGCCTCTTTCCATGCCCCCCTCTTCCTGCTCGCTCTTTGCCAGGCAGTGTGAGGTTCAGCTCAGGTTAATGAAGGTGCCACTGGGCCAGTGCATAATGCATTATCACCAGGTTTGCCAGATAGCCACTGGTCACCCATGTGATCACACTGCTCTGTATTCTCTCCTGCTCTGTCTCTTAATGATACACTTCCTTCAGCCTGTGTGACTAATATCGAGGAGCTACCTTATTATTAAAGCATGTATTAAGAAGTATTGAGTTTATTTTTTTGTTATTGATGGCAGCAAGTTGGTGCCATTATTTCCACTACTTAATTTTTTAAGTGTAGTGTAATCTATGATCACAAAAATACTGATCATATGAAACTGATCATATTTTTTGTGTGTAATAATTTGTATCATTAAAGTAACTAATTGATAATTAATTGAATAGTGTAAAGTAGATAGTTGGTCATAATATTTCATGTTGGCATGTAATAAAGTGTAAAGCATGATGAAAGTACCAAGTAAAGTACTTGTGCTTAGGGATGTTCCACCATTTGGTGAGTTGTGGCTCCTCTGTCCCAATTCCGCCAGATACTCAAATACAATACATACTGCAAATACCCATATGCATATGTGTATATATGTATATGTATTCATCCATTAATTCTTATAGTTATTTTGACGATGCGAATAAAAAATAGAAATTATACAGAAGTGAGAAAAAAGCAAACAGTACAAACAGTGATGAGGAAAAAATATCAAAGACTTAATGATTTAATCTAGATTCGAAAAGGAGTGAGAAGAAGTAGAAACTTATTTAATCTCACCCATTCCCGATAAGTTATTTATTAATAATGATCTTATACTTAACCAGCTTCCAGTTGTTTACATGTACTCTATATTGTATATAATTTACAAAAATATGTGTTATAATAAATTCAATATAAATAATAAAAATAAGGTGTATGTATATGTATATACAATGTAGATGTATATACAAAACTCCAACACTTATATACGCATAAATAAATTTACATTGTTGTTTATAGCAAAAAGAGGAGGATAAACTCAGGAACAATATATTATATTATATTATATTATATTATATTATATTATATTATATTATATTATAGTAGATGACGATCACTCTCGCTGCACATGTGTCTGTCAATCAGTCACGGGTGTGTTTCTGCGTCATCACTTCTCAGCCAATCACACGGCGACGTCCGGAAACGGGGCACCAGAGACGTAAACCTGGCAAACATGGCGACGTTCCGGGGAGAGTACGGAGATTGGAAATACGAGCGCTTTTAACACGACTAAACAACCTCCTCCTCGCATGTTACAATGTGGTGGGGTTAGCCGCAGCCTCCGCACTAACAGCCTTTTAGACGATGCTCGCAGAGGTAAGCCAGCGCCGGCGAAACCGACGCGTGTGTCCCCGCAAGTAGTTTGTTTTCCAGCGGTGGGCTACACGGCTAGTTAGCTTGTAGCCGCTAGCGTCGTATAGCGCTAACCCCGCAGGTAAACACTCAGTCTGTCAGCCGGGGAGAGGACGGGACGTGGCCGCGCTGCTCGCCTGCTATTACTGGCGGTCAGCCCCGGGATTACACGGCTAATGCTAAGTTAATACGATGATCTAAGGATGTGCGCACTGTCAACACCGTGCTGGAATTAGCTCGACACAGGCAGTGTCGGTAGTATGCGTTTAGATTATGTGTAACGACCCTCGAGAACGAATTTCTACATCACAACAAACACAGGTGAGCTGGGCGTTAGCTCAACGCTACTGAAGCTAACACCTCATGTTGAAGGCAAATGAAAGTGATCTGTTTGGTGCTGGCATGGTTGTGGGTTAACTTGCTACTCCACTGATTTCTCCACAGTTAGCTCACGTTTCACACCGCTAACACGCATGCTGAGCAGGCTAATAGTCTGTGTTTTGTCATCTCCTGCTCATTTCACTCAAACTTCAGGGAAGAGTCAGAGATGTTTACACACAGGAACACAGCCAGTCAGAGTCAGACTAGTGTCCTTCTCCTGTCGGACACAAACAACCGGCCTAACACAGGCCTGTCTTCTAATAGTAAAAGTCTTTGAACCATTGCAGCTCGTCAGTGGTTGAAGAGATTATCTTTGGCTCTGTGGGCACTCGTGTGATTTGCTGTGACATTGTAGTTTTTATGCCACAGCGCTCACTTGATGCACTTTCTCAATGCATGCACTGTTCCCGACTTTCAACATACCCTGGTCATGACACCTGCTGACACGTACTGTAACTCACAGATCCTGTGAGTGTAGCAGGCGCAGTCACTTTTCTCACTACAGTTTCCACCTCACCTGAGCTACAGGTGACCTCCCCACACCCAGGCACCTCTCCAGCAGTCTGAGCACAGGTTTAGCCTCTGTAATGAGGCTTCAGCTGCCTCTGCACTGTTCTTTGTCTCTGACAGGCAGTAGTAATATCTCTGTGAAGCTCAGTCAGGTGTTAAACTACAGTAGCTCTTTGTGAAATCTTGTTCATGGCTAACCTTTAGTCTGAAGTGAATGATTGTCTTGTGTTGGGTTAGTCCTGCGATTAAGCTATGTATTGTCATTGCTATTATGGACATAGGATGCAAGATTGCAACACTATTGTCTTCATCATCAACCAAGCTCCTGCACAGGAATGCTGTTGCCTCTCAGCTAATAGAAACCCTGTGCTCTGTCTGCTTCACTTCCTAGATTTTGAGTTTCATTTTGTTAGCTTCCTGCTAGTATTTGTATCTATAGGTCATTTGAGTTTAAAAGCATATTTGCACCGTAATTTGTAGCTCAACTGTTGCTCATGTGTTTTTTACTCATTGGCTTGTATGACCTAGCTTAGTTGTAGTCATTGGTATGAACTTTTTTTCTGTCTGGTTGTGATTTACCTGTGAGAGTGAATGGCATACCTGCATAGCTTAATGAATACACTTCTTCAAACTGAGATGGTTTGTTGTAGGGAGGTGTGGGTGCATTGTGTGTTCAACCACGTGCACGCAAAGTTATCTCATTGCCTTTCACCCCAGGCTAAATCTCATTAAGGTGTCTTAATCAAAGCTCGGTGGACAGCACATTGTCGCCTGCTCGACATCTAGTCCACCTCTCCCTCCTTCCTTCTGTCAATAGAAGTGGCACCTATCAAGAGGTGTGTCACCTTTCATGCATCATACATCTCTCATGAATTAAGCCTTGTTCAGACCTGTGTTTTTAATCCAGATAAATCCTCATTAAATTAGGTCATGCTAAGACACAGAATGCAGCTCACATTGGGCATTAGCATTTGCTGCTAAACTAAATGAACAAATACATTTGGTGTGGCCCGGGTGATGCATCTGCCTACTGTTACAGAGGTCATGGTTGAATTCCCAGTTGGTACATCTTGCTGGGTTTTGTGTTCCAGTTGGTGGGATTTTGCAGGGTGTGTGATTCTGAGGATTTGGCTAGGATCTTTGGTGAATAATAAAAACCTCCACATACGCCCTCCTGGATCCACTTCTCACTAGAAGATGAAAAGAGAAAGCTGGGGAGGAGGCTTGTCTCTGCGGAGGCATGTGGCTGACTTCATCCTCCCCAGGGTAACATGATGGTTAACACTGTTGGACTACAGCTGAAGAGAGCAGTCCATATAAGACTGGATGGAGAAATAAAGGGGTTCAGAGGTCCCAAAACAGAAACACTTAAATTCTGACTATTCTCAACAGCACATTTTAAAATTGTGAAGAAAGATCATAGTTCAGTCTGTGTTGATCTTGATTGTGGATTAGAAAGATTGTTATATGATTTTGTTCAGAAGTAGCCCTTTAGTATGACTACATGTGTTTATATGCACACATTAACACATAAGAAAATCTAGGACTTGTCGGTATAGCTGTCCACTTGTGATCAGGTCGTCTAAGATGCATTGCAAAGTGTAGCAAGTCCAAAGATTACAATCTGGTCAATGTGCTGGTCATAAATGTTTCCATTTTCACTCTGAGCTTTTTGTCCCCACCTCCTGTAAATAAATGCCGGTGCTATGCGTGTGCATAAACTTGCACACTCCACTCGTTACATTATCAAATCTGTTGAAGGTGAAGTACTCTGCTTGACAAACACAAGTGGTTTTACTGCGATTAATGAAGAAGTTTAGTTTAGCAAATTCCCCCAGGTTTTGTTTTTATCAGGTGAGAAGTGCTGGGTTCATCATGAGATTGTTGGAGAACTGATCACTGAGGCCTTCTCTGTTCGCACTCCTGCAGTAGGACTCGTTCAATCAGTCAAAAGGTAGCTAAGGGCTTGTCAGTAGGGACAGCACAGGTTTGGAAATAATGAGCAGCTTGATTTTCCCTGTGTCTACTCAACTCATTGTTATGTTGTCAGTGTGGGATGTAGAAAAGACAGCAGAAGGCTGACCACCTTCAAATGACAGAATAGGTTAGACATGCTAGCAAGTAGGATTCCAGCCAACCTGCATATATGAGCACACAGCAGGGCAAAATCTTCAGCAACATTTGTTTGTGATGTATTGCTCTGTTGTTAAAAGTACCACAGCCTCAGAAAGTGATATCTGTTCTTTAAAAGAAATGAAAAAAGAAAAAAAATCCATCTATGACCGTAAAATATTGCCTCATTTGGCATTTGTGGATCTATCAAATGTAAACTAGCCCCACCTCTATCTTAATCCACCCCTCAGCCACTCACCCGACTCTGTTCATCAAACACATAACCCTTTGTTTGTCTTCTTTTACGAAACTAAGGGTATCAAACGATATAAAAAAGCTCCACTCTGCAAGGTGACTGATACAGTATTGAATTTGGATACCAGACCCCAGCCCATCAAGGCCTGCTGACCTGCTTCAGACAAACATTTTGAAATTCGGTTGCGCTTGCTAAGTTTTCTCTCAAGCTTGAAGGTCCCCGTCCATACTAACACCTGAAAACGCAGGAATAGGACAGCATTTTGCACTAAAAACACTGGAGTAGTGTGGATAGCATTAACATATCAGTAAGGATGTTTTGTAAAGCTAAAATATAATAGTGTGTATGTAGCTGAAGTGTAAAATGTCTCTAGAAATTAACCATCATTAGTATTGCAGTTTTACCAGGTTGGCATATATCTTTTAATTCCAAAGTTTCAGTTTGTATTCCCCTTTCATTCTAGAGATTTCCTCTCAAGGTTAAGGTGGCAGCTCTTTCTATCATTTATTCTGGTGGATTAGGCCGGCATGATTAGTCAGCCCCTCTTACTTTCTCTCCCTCTCTCAGGCATTAACCGCGGATCTCCCACTGGAGAGCTTTAATGGGCTGAGTTAACCTCTCGCCCAGTGACCACACTGATCATGGTTGCATCTCAGCGCTTCAAGCGTGGACTTGAGTGCATGGGTTGCCAAAATAGAAATATCTACCCTTGAGCAGTTTTTAAGTTGTTCCCTGAAATCTGGGAAATGATAAACACTGATAAGAAGCTGTTTGTGAATGCGCCTGGAGTCAAGGACATGCAACAGCAGAAAACACGTCATAAAGCCTTGCTTCTGTGCATATGTAGTCTGCCTCTGAAAATGCTGCTCTATAATGATGTACACTCCTTTCATTGATCATGTATGCTAAGATTTTATTTTAAGACATGGTGTCCAGCCTACACGCCACCCATCCCTTCTTTAGATCAATACTTACTTTTGTGTGTCTGCGTGTGCTCACATTTAGTTTGAAGACTGTAAGACTTCTTGCGTTTACAATTCTATGTGTCTATTTATTGTGGGTTGCGTAAGGATTTGCCTAGATGTTTAGATGTGTGTGTCCGTTGGGCTTTGGTGTTAATCACTGGAACAGATGGTTCATGTTTAAAACCCTGTGTAAGCTGTAATGACTCAAGAGTGTCTGTTATCATGTCTCCTACAAAGCCAAGCCTCCACAGCCTCATCATCTCACCACAAAGCCGTACTGATAGCCTCCTGCTCACTGGCACCATTATTCTCAGACCAGACCTACGTTACCCACCTAAACTACATCCAGATACTTACTCATGGAACTGACTACAATAGACTTGGACAGGATTCATTATGTAATTTGTCACCTTACACTTCTAAAAATGCAAATATCCCTGAAAATGAAAACAGCTGTCTAAACAGTTTTCTTTAGGAATTTTTTCCCTAACCAGAGTATCAGAACCTTAACTCCCCCAGCCTTTATGTTTACAAAAACACTTCCCAATTTTCAGTTGACTTGCACAAATCCTGCCTACATGCGCTGAATCAGGCTTGAATTAATTCAAAATGTCAAAATAATCTAGTCATCTCTGACTGATGGAACTGGCAGCATGCTCTTAGATTCAGCTGACCAAGGTCTATGGTATCACCAGATAGGTTTAAGCGAGTATTTGCTGCTGAAAGCTTGTGAACATGGCCAACAGTATAACTGCCCTCTCTTTGATTCCTGTGTGGGTGCTAGCTAAACAGAGTGGATGTGTTTCTAAAGGTCAAATGTTCTTTGAGGTTTGCGTGAAAGTCAGTACCTTGAGTATG